TAAAACTGGACGATGAAGGCAATGAACTCAAATGCGCTGTGTTGACTTCAAAAATTTTAGATTCTAGAGAAACAATTATTGCCGAATTGAAAGCTGATCCTGAGTTTGGAAGTATCTATGCGTATTTGAAAGACCCCGAAAGCTTTGAACACACAGATATCGATTCAATAAGAAGTAGAGCAGAAAACTATGAAATAATAGATAATTTATTATTTTATACGAAAACAACAAACAAAAATTTCGAATATAAACCAGTCATCCCAGCCTCGCTTCGATTAAGCATTTTGAGGGAATTACACGACGCGAAGACAGCGGGTCATTTAGCGGTCAGAAAGACTTTAAAAAGGGTACGCGAGGCGGTATATTTCCCGCAATTATACAAAATAATACCTGCGTATGTCAGGTCCTGCAATCAATGTCAGTTAATAAATTATATTAATTACAGCCCGGCCGGGTACTTAAATAGCATTCGCGCTACATTTCCGAATGAAATTTTAGGCATAGATCTTCTTGGTCCTTTCCCCCAGAGTGAGTTAAATAAAAATCGTCTTTTAGTAATTGTAGATCATTTTTCAAAATGGACAGAAATTGTTCCACTTAAACGCGCGTCAGCCAAAACAGTCGCAGATGCATTAAAATACGGTGGATATGCAGATGCATTAAAATACGATGGTCACAGATACATTTTAAAATACGGTGCACCGATAAAAGTCATTAGCGATAACGGTAAACAATTCGTTAGCCAAATATTTGAAACCATTTGCACTGGACTTGGCATACGCCATATCAAAATCGTTCCGTATAGACCACAGGCAAACATCGCAGAAAGAGTTAATAAAAATATTCTAAAAATAATTCGAAGTTATGTTAGCACACATCACAAGGGCTGGGATGGCTACATAAATGAGTTAGCTTATGCTTTAAGAACGGCAAATCACGATACTACGGGAAAAACTCCAGCAGAATTATTTTTAGGACGGAAGTTAATTACGCCATTAGATAAATTATTCTTTGTGCAACAAAGAGAGCAAGAATTTAAACAAAAATATGTGCAAAAACTCATTGACCAGGCGGTTAAAAGTTAGGATACGGCAAGAAATAGACAAAAATTATACTATGATAGAATACGTCGTAAAGCAGGTTTTAAAGTTGGAGATAAAGTGTTGAAGCGGAAATTTTCTTTATCAAGTGCCCCAGACAATTTTACTGCAAAGTTAGCTCCAAAATTTGAAGGCCCCTATATAATTCAGGAAATCAAGGGAGTCGTATTGTACCTTAAGAACGAGAGAGGGGAAATCTGTAAAGCAAGTCCCGATCAGGTGAAAAAATATTATAATCAAAATGATATTGAAATCCTTAAAAGTTTCTTGCAGGACTCAAGCGCAAAAGAAGTGGAAAGTCAAGAAGTAACGTCACCCGCTCCACCACCCAAGAAGCAGAAAACTGAAGAGAAACCTAGCCCTTCTACAAGTCATGCGACGGTACCGAAAAGAAGAAATGAAACGTTCAGACTCCAGCATTTAAGAAATACAAGAAAGCAACGCCGCCGCGTAAAGAAGCTTTGGTAAAGAGGAAAAGACCAGTTACAACGTATCGCAGTAGAAATTCTGCATCGAGGAAAACGCTTCCAGGGCCAGAAAGTCAGGTGCAAACAAAGCCGCCGTTCCCGAGAACAAAAGACAGCAGGAGGAACGAAAAGACCACCACCAACAGAAGAAATTCAGGCACGATTCCAGACCGGAGGACGCCAAGATAGCCGTCCAGGGGCAAAACGGAAAAGACAGCAACCCGACGACTACCACTCCAAGAGGCCAGCATACAGAGGGCGAAAAAGAAAAAAACAACATAGACAAATCTCGAAGGACACAAAGAAGACGACTGACGTGGATGAATTCCATATCGTGTGAGCAGTTCTGCCAGAAGAGGATGTCGGAGTTCCAATCATCGAAAACTCAAAGATAAGTTAAAATCTTCTATAAAATTTTTCTTTTGTTCCGAAATGTTATGCGTAAATACGAAGTTCTATGTTTTGACGGAAGTCAAATTGTCTCGGTTGAGACTTAGTTCTGTTTTACTTTATTTAGCTAAGGCAAAAGTATTATTTTCTTTAAGTAGAAAATCTAAGAACAAGCAGTTTCTGTTTGTCGAAAGACTAATTCTGTTATGTTAAAGCCAAAATTTGGCCGAAGATAAAAATAACTTCGTATTCTTGTATTAACGAGAAATTTAGTTTCAGTACCGCCAGCTTGGCGAAGAATGCGTAAAGTAAAAATTTATTTTTTCTGTTATTCATTTTATGGTAAATTGTAAAAATCATATGGATTAGAATTTTGTAAATATACGTAAATACTTGAAAGTTATGTAAAAGTAGAATTTAGTCTAGAAGCATAAAATTTTAGATGCTAAAAGTAAATGCTCAAAAGAAATGAATTCAAATTTAAGTATTAAACTGTAGATAAAATCATGCTTTAGAGCGAAAGCCTGCATGTCTAAAGATGAATGAGGGGGAATTTAGAATGAATGTGTTTTGTAGGGTTCTCCACCTACACTTGAATTTTAAGAATGTTAAACATAGCTCATTGAGTTTCAGTATGTCGATTAAGGTGTGTCTATTTGGTTGTTGGAATTCTAACAAATCATTGTGGTTAGGGGAAGTGTTGCAATACTAAAACACGAATATTCCCGTTTGACACCACACATGGTGGAGAGCCAGGGTAAAGTTAAATTCATGTTTGAATACTTGAATGAATGTGAATTAAGCAGTAACTAAGGAGAATTGTGTACTTTCCAGTTCATAGCAGTCACCACTATTGTTGCGTGCAGGTTGGGACCGCGCAACCAAAGAATCTCTAAGGAGAAGAAGTAAAGGTTCCTCGGGGCAAATGTGGCTCCGTCATACCGAAGAGACGCATTATGTATATCCTTGAAGCTTACTTTCAAGGGGCAAACCATTCAAAAGCTATCCACCCTCCGTACCTCACTGCGCATGTGCGAAATAACATCAGGAGGCAACAAAGCAGCATCAAAGAATGCAGCATGCCGTCAGCCGTGTTAGCAATCTTTGTTCGTTCGTTGTTTGTTCTTTGTTTGTTCGTTCAATCGTTGTTCGAAAACTTTCTTTGTTGTTGTAGTCAGAGGTACTTGGTTTTAGCTATCTGAAATTCTTTTAAAGACTTTTTAAATGTAATGCTGTAAGTGAAATGGTTTTGGCTATTGGGTGAAAACTTTGCTCTTGGTTTTCACAATGGTCATTCCAAATAATTGTCTAAACGTTTTCATGGTAATTTGTTTTTAAAGTTGTTGTCAGATAATTATAATGTATTTCAGTGTTTTCAATTTATTTAGGGGTGCCTTTAATTGTCTTTAAATATTTTTTTCTGTATTCAGTTAGTTATTGCAAATTTTGCTTTTAAAATTTCACTGTAAAATTTTAACTATGGATCCATAAAAATTTATTACGTTTTTGTATGGCATGTGTTTTCCCTCCTTTTTAAGTTTACAGAAGAAAAGAATTAAGAAATTTATTTCATTTAAATTTTGTCTTCGTACGGCTTGCTGTTTAAATTGAAAGAAAAAATTGGACAGGATTTCTATAATTCACCCCAAAATTCCAATTAACATCCTTTTGCTCATAAAACTCCAGAAATGTATGAAAATGAAACATTTTGAGTTATTTCAAAGTAAAAAATTTACTATCTCCTCGAACTGCGCTGTTTAAATTTCACCCTGCGCTGGTGTTTCACTGCATAGCCGTGGCTCTTCGGTACAGCGGCGCAGAGGCGAAACAGGTTTACATTGCGTCTATGGAAGCTTTCATGCTTCTCCTTAGAGATTCTTTGGCGCAACATTACAAAGTGTAGTCTGTGAAGAGAGAACACGATGATATTTCGACAAGAACCATTACAGAGTCTGTTAATAACCGTAATAAGGTACGAAAAGATACTGCTAATACTGCTTCTTACTGGACGATTAGCACATTTATGCTGCAGTTTATTGTCCTTCAATAAATTTTATGGTTGTAGTCATTGAATTAGCAAGAAGATGAGAAGATAATGAGCAATGCAAATGCATTTTACGTTTATAACTCTATTTTTAATTTAATGTTCCTCATGTGTTTGCATCTGGTGTTTGTTTTCAACGAGATCTGAAAACGTTATATAATAAAAAGGCTGATTTTAAGAGATATATTGTTTTTATTGCTTAGATGGCAAATTATTTTGTGGAGCAACTAGAAGTGAAAAATGTCTGAAGATAAAAAATTCTTCACGTCAAAATAGTATGATTAAGTTCATCGAAACCTAATACTTAAACCACAAGATTCTCAAAGCTAAACTATTAACGGAACCTTTAAACAAACGCATCATTTTAGCCTAGTTTTGCTGTAATATAATCAGTTAAATACTTATTTTCTTTGCAATTAATAAGTGTATTAAAAAAATACAATTTTTCAGTAATAAATACTTCGTAGTAACCCATGCATGAAACATCAGTTCTCCAAATTTATGATCTGGTCGTCCTCGTTACCCATTTTATTTGTTAAATCAGTATTTGAAAGAAACGCAATAATTAACGCTTAATAAAGAACTTACTTTAAAGTTTAAAGTAAGCAAAGCAAAACAAAAACTTTTAGCAGCTATTAAATTCTGATAGTAAGTTTATGGCTAGCTGTTGTGTAAACTAATGTCTTCTTAGATTATCGTAGGACTTTGAAACGAAACTGAACCAATACAGCCCAACTGTTTTAAATTGGAAACACACTGCTAAAATATTTTATGTTGCAATCAGAGCCTCTAAAATAAACTTTTCCCACATTTCAAGGTATTTCATGCAGTAACCAAAATAATTAATAAGCTTCGGAAATAAACACTCCCAAAAATTCAAGTCTTAAAATAATCCTGATTTGTAATTGATAAAGAATCTCTATAAATTCCTTCAATTTTTCCAATATCTGATTATAATAGATTATCGGTTGCTTAGTAAGTTATTTACCTTTATTGCAGATGACAGTCCCATCAAGAGTGCTTTTCATGTTTTCCTGTTGTGTTTTAATGACAATGATACCTCTACGATTTACGTGTTCTCATCAAGCCGAGGATATATGTGCTGTTTGTGTGATGTTGACAGCAGCTGCCTATTTCTTATTTTTCTGCCGGTAAGTAGCTGAAGGTGCGTATGTCAGTATAGTATGACGCGTTAGAACTGAAAACAGTAGAGCATTAGAATTTAAGATCAAGACTTTTAGTAACAGAGTCACTCAGAATTTAAATTAAAAATCATTTCAGTAAATGTTAGAGAATACTGTATTTATAATTATTAAAGTAGGGACAAATTTTAGAGAAGAAATAAAATAATCAAAGAAAAATCTAAAGTTCCGAATATGCAACTTTTTTGCATGAAAACTGTAAATTTTAATACCATATAACAGGGGTGGCCAAAGTACGGTTCGCAAGCCTGATATGCTCTCGCTGATAAATTTTGCGGCTCGTACATATAAAATATATGTATGAAATATGGTAAACTAAAACTATTCAGTGTCCAAAAAGAATTCATTAATTAGTTTAGCCTCTTTCTACAAAGTTATCAAGGATTTCTTTCTATTTAAAACCTCCTCCACTACTTCTATAATGATGTAAATATGAACTTGTGGCTTTTAGAAAATCTAGATTCGGCTCTCACACATTCCTGAATTCAAACGTGCGGCTCTTACTGACATGAAGTGTGGCCAACGCTGCCATATAATATTACATCTTTTATGGAATAAGAATTTAAATATTAATGCCAAATTTAATTTTACTGTTACTTGTATCACATGGAAAATTACATGTTGTATTATGAATTGTTTTTAAAAGTTATTACATAAACGTTTTAAAAGAAAACCTTCACCCTAAGATGAACAACAAAAAATATTACACAACGAAAATCAACCTTAAGCTAGCGTTGGTTTTAATTTACATTTTACAAAACAAACCCGAAGTCTTTTTCCTTCAAAAGCAAAAATATTGGCCCGGAATAGGTATTTTAAATATGCGGAATAAAATGAGCTTCCTAGGTACGCAATATTTTCTAAATGCAGATGATCATTCAGCATATCAAACAGCTACTACTTTTCTCAACAAGAAGAAATCAAACGGAAGAATCTATACGAAAACAATTTTATTTTAATTAAACTTAATTAATCTAATCTTACTAGTTTGGTTTTACTATTATTCCTTCTTTCGTCAACTTCCATCGAAATGCAAATTAATTAGAGTATAAAAAAGGGTCTAGATACTAAGTTCTCCAGAGAGCGTTTAGTAACATAGACTGATCTTCATTCTGCCTAAGTTTAGCTGCCGCAGTTTCTCTTGCCAGTGGAAGCTTCCTCTTACCACAACTGGTTCGCAAGCTCTTAGTTACGGGTGAGTCAAGGTTTAGTTCAGTAGCATTACATTTTAAATTAGGTTAGGTTGTATAATTTTGTGCTTGAATTAAATTTAATTTTAACGTATGTTTTGTTTACCCGCAAGCTAGAACGAACTGAATATAGGATTTTTTTAATATATATATATATATATGTATAGGGAAAAAATCTGATAACGCTTCATAAAAGTTACCAGATTACTTCATAAGAATAAAGTTATCTGGCTTTCTTTTTAAATAAACCAGTGAAAACTATTCTTTAACTACCACGTAAGCTTAGATGATACAATGTCCGTTAGAAAAATAAGAAGACTGCACCTGGAACAGCTATGCACTAGAAGATTTCACAAATCTCTTTTTTTTTCCCTTCAAGATACTTTCCTTGGAATGCTACTAAAACGGCATCTTAGGCAGATACCCTTTCTGTGCTTTTTTCCCATCCAAATCAGCTTAACCTGAACTTTGGAAGCTACACGCTTTCGTAGACGTATCTTCCAGTATTGGTGGCACTGTAGAAATCGACCTGTGCAACTGTGTTCAGTCATGGCTCGTTGGATGATTTTTATGCTTCCATATTAATATCCTTTTATCTTCAAATTCAATTTTGGAAAAAAGTAAGAAATCAACCGCACTAATATCAGATGAGTAAAGAGTTTGAGGAGCCATGGAAATGCTTTTTTGTATCAAAATTTCGTGACTGAGAGAGCTTAGTGAAGCGAAGCATTGTTATGGTGGAGAATACACTAAACGGTAATGTCCGAGCAAACGCCACTTCGAACTCTTTTGAATTTCCGTGAAATATTTAATGTATTCTTTTTTCACAAATTAATATGCTTATACCGACTCATTCCCCGTATGATGAGTTCCAACAATTGCTCACTGTTCTCAGTCTCTTTAATCTGATCCTGACTTATTCCAAAGCTTCACTCCGTTTGTTCCAGAGTGAAATTTCTTGGCACCATTCTGGCGAACAATTTCGGCTTATTCAGCTCCTTTGTCAAAATCTCATCTACAGTATAAATGCCAAATTTATCTCTATCTCTAATCACCCTTACTGTCATGTGATGATCTTCATGAACAAAGGTTCTCATACTTTCAATGTTGCCTCTGCTTTTGATGCTTATAGTCTCCCACAGAGGGATTCATCTTGTATATTTTACCTTCCACTCAAAAATTCTATGTGCTCCTGGTATGCAATCGTAAAGCTTCCTCTCCATACACCCCTGTTACTTTTCGAAAAGTTTCGGCTGTGCGCTTTCATCAACTACCCAGGCAATATAGTGGTTCATGACTCTGACTACTGTACCGATGAGCCCATGTTTAAATCCCGGAGAAATCGTGGATGTTTGGAAGTATATATTATCTGCGCGGCAAGGAGCAACACAAAATGCACGGCGAACCGAAAGTCCTCTCAAGAGGTTGGTGGTAAGAGAAAACGGGGGAGACAAAGAAAAAAGAACGTCTAGGACTAGAAGGCTTTGAAAGGCTTTTTAAATGTAATTTTATATTTGTTAATTTAACTGAATTGATTTTGATTCATGGTTACAGACTTTGCTCTTGATTTTAATAATGGGCATTTCAAATAAATGTGAAAAAAAAATATGACTAGAGAAGAATAGAACTTGCTATTTTTGAAGATGCTTAAAATTATTTTGTATATCTATATACAGAAACTGCAAAATTGTAGATGAATATGATTATTTATCTAAATTGTATTGTTCTTTTGTGCTTTTAATACTTAATAATATGCTTGATATGAAAGTAATTAAAAAACCTTTACGTAATTAATTGCTGATTAAATAAACATCAAAAACGTTCATTTATTTATATCACAATAATATTTAAATTTGTTTGCTTGTAATTAGGATGCTAATTATAATTTAAATCTGGATATTACATTAAATGAAAAAGAATTAAAAGATTTACAGAAAGAGGGGTTGGGGTGGAACAATAGGTAATACAATAACACTAATAAAATTTATGGGGGGTTGTTTTGCTTTGTTTTGTTTTGCTTTAGTCTAAACTTTAGAATAATCCACGTTAAACAACTAGAGAATTTAAAGATTTTAACCAAATTCAACAAAATTTATTTCACAAAAATTTTGAATCCTGACCGATATTAACAAAATAATTTCATTCAAATTTTCTCTTACATACGACTTGTTGTCTGAATTAAAAGTCAAAATTATGGAGGATTTCTGTTATTCCCAATTTTCAGTCTAGAATTTTCTATTAAAAATTTCGGTCCGCCTTTGGAAACAGGACGATGTCTCCAAAAGGGTATTAACTAACTTCATTTTGCTCATACTACTCCGGAAATGTATAAAAATTCAAAATTTGTAACTATCGCAAACTAAAAATTTAACTATCTCCTCGGACTGCTCTATTTAAAATCCGCCCTGAACCACATTTCACCACCTTTCACTGCATATTAGTGGCTCCACGATATAGCGAAACAGCTGGAAAACATGTTTACATTGTGTCTATAGAAGCTTTCCTTCTTCTCTTATAAGTAGTTCTTTGTGAAAGATTCCCCGGGGTGTTCTTCCTCAAATATTGGGGCCAACCTATACAGTTAGTGTGGCGGAAATATACTTTTACTACTAGCGGTAAAATTCTCGTGTTCTGTCCACTTCTACATGTAGCGAGGCATTCATCCATTTTTAACACCAAAATTTGAAGCACTCCGCTCTAAGTTTCGGGTCGCTAAAGCTAAACTCTATTCCCTAGTTGCCCGAAACTCGGTATTATCCTTAAAAAATAAGTTTCAACCATGCTGCATCCCATACTCACCTATGCCTACCTTGTCTGGGATTATGCTTATAAAACACATATTAAAAAGTTTAAACTAAAATACCCCTCTGAGGCAAATCTCCCGATGTAGGTCGTTTATCAGGAATTTCACTATTCACAAGAAATTTAAAATTCGTATTATTGAAAAATGCTTGGCAAAATTATCAAAAAAATTCTTCAATAAGCTCAGAAATACCAATAACCCATCTCTTAATAACTTAAATTATTATGTGAATGATAGTGTAAACAGAAGACTGCCGGGAGATGTGCATCTTTGTCTTAATTAATTTTCTTGTTTTCTAATTTGTGTGGAGTATTGTATTACTTGTTAAATTTTATTTCCCCTAGTTGACTGAATTCCGTTTGTTTATCTTATCATCGTACCATGCAGAGTTTATCATCTATGAATACTTTACCTCTTATATTATTTTTATCTTGCTCCTACTTCTTCCCTCCCTTTATAGTTTTGTTATTACTCTTCTAAAAATATATGTTCTCTGTATTTTAGTCTTTACTCCCTTCCCAAATCTAAACCTGATTTTTTTGCATGTTCACTTATGCTCTTTTCTAGTCAACAACTTTAGATCAACGGCCAGCCAACCACATTGCTTCCTCTTTATCGTACCTCTTGACGTCACATCTCCGCCCTCGTTAGCAGCAGTTCTGTTTCTCCGCCATTAACTCTACGTTTTTTTGGTATACCTAACTCGGTTTGCTGGTCTAATACTGTTGACACTTTTCCATCCAAACTTGTAATGGCAAGTAGCCACGATCGGATGCATTACCTCTTCGCATATGATTCATTAGAGTGTTGCTAGTTTTATTACTTTTCTAACAGACCCTAGCTTAGAAGCTAAATAAAATTTCAATAAATAATCAGTGAAAGGCACAAGAGATACAATAAAAAAAAAAGGTTTCCCTAACCGAACTTGAGAATCTATGATTATTATAAGAGAAATTAATAACTGGTGTCAATCATATAATGTTAAGTGCCTTGAATTAGGACCAAATGAAACTGATCATGTCTTTCTTAGTATTAATTTAAACCAATTTCTCTATTCTTATTAAATTTCAGTGGTTTTAAAATCGTAGGCCCTTTTGTGGTGATGATCTACAAGATGATTTTAACGGACTTACTTTGCTTCGTAACGATTTATCTCGTTTTCGTATTAGGATTTGCCCAGGGTAAGTACGCTTTTCAAATCATACATTTCACACATTTACAAGTAGATAGTATATGTTACTTGTCATATATTACTGTATATTACAAATATACTGAACTCTCAGTTATCAGTGCGATTTAATGCACAAGAATGATAATCTGATACCCGGAAAACATGGAATATAAAAATTTTAACTAATGCGCTAGTATTTTAAGAAGTGAGCTCTTTAGCGATTTTATGAGAACTTGCAGCAGACTGTTTAAAATGAAATTCAATAAAAGTAGTAAAGCTCATATGTAATGTTACTTTTCTTGGAAACACTATTTTATTTCTTTGCTAGTCGTCCACCAGCAGCTGAGTAATGAAGTCGCTGAAGGCGAAAGAGCTGGCTACATGGTCGGTATTTAGTGGCTTTTTTCTATATGTAATATGGTTGCGAGGCTGTTTCCTTTAAAACGGCCTTCCCGAAGGATCCGTCTCAAGTAGTTAGCCCCGCGCCCAAAAACAACTGTAATAGTGAGCAGAACTGAACAATAAAGTCAAGTAACAGAAATACATGACTCAAATAAGCCTTTTGTTCCATATCTGTTTTGAAAGTAACGCACTACATACAAAGCAATTTTACTGAAATCAAATTATTTCTTTCTAAGTCTTCACAGAATGTTTTTAGGAGACAGAGATTAAAAAAATATCTTTTGTGCAAAGACAAATAAAAATAGTGCGCACAAAATGAGCCCGGTATCACTATTTCGCATCATAAAAATAATGAAACGCAATAGCATGGCTTGCCACTTTTCTACCATTCTGCACTTGTTTTTAGATAATGCATTGATAATCCACACTCAAATAATCACGAGATTAGTGTATGATAAGGAAAATACTGAGATGTAAAACAGTATTAATATCTGTTTTCTTCAGCCATTTTTATAACCAAAGATAATCATTGTGTTATCCATATAATATTTTTTCTATTTTTTGAAATATCTGCCATTTTATGATATATATATTATTATTAAAATATATACTTTATTAAGTTATTAAAGCTGCATTTTGTATATAAAATATACTTTTATTTAACAGCCTATTACGTGATTTTCCTGTCTTACCGAGCTGAAAAACCGAGCTTTTTCGACGACCCAATTCAAAGCGTTTTAGCCATGTTTGTGATGTCTTTATCAGAGTTTGGTGATACATACGAGCAGTTTCATCATACTGCTCATCAGAATATTGCGAAGGTAATGCAATTGTTTAAGCTTGCTTAACTGGTCTCTTAACCGCATTCAAATGCAGTTTTCATGTTTGCTTAGTTCAAATGTTGGTTAACCTATTTTTTTTTTTTTTTTTCAGTTTTATTCATGTAAATACGGAAAATTAAACTCTTCTAAATAGTAAAATGTAATTGAATAAAAAAATAATCATATGCATTTGAATAAAATGATGCACAATAATATATATATATATATATATATATAATATATATTGCCTGTTATTAACAGCAATATATATATATAGATATATATATTGCCTGTTATTAACAGGCAAAATTTAAAAACAAATTTTTTTATACCCATCCTGCGCTATAGCTGCAGGATTGAAGTAAAATAAACTTAGAGCACCTAAAGTTAAAAGTAAATTGTAGTTAAAGCAAGGCAATTTCTTATCAATATTAATAATTTCATCCTTGTATAGCAGGTGTAATCCTAACATACCTAAACAATTCAAATTAAAAAAAAGATCATAAGTATTTAGGTTTCACACTCACTAACAATCTTTCATGGGTGCCTCACCTCCAGGAGTTGAAGCAACGTTGTGCACGATTAGTTAGCTTCATGGTCGGTACAACGGAGGTACACTGGTACATACCTCCTCGAATTCTGAAAGCATTGTACAAAACTATTACTGAAAGTATTATTCTATATGAAGTCGCAGTATGGGACAAAACGTCACTACATGTATGAGAAAGGCACTTTTAAATATGCAGAGAATGCAGCTGCTATTGATCTGCAAGGGATATAGAACTGCGCCAACCACAGCACTCCAGGTTCTTGCAGAACTTCCGCCGCTAGACCTAATTGCAGAAAGAGAGTCATTATGCCATAATGCAGTTTTTGTTAATAGGTTAACTTTCTTTGTAATAATTGTATACTGTGTCTTTGTAATTGTATATTCAATACGTAAGTCTAGTATTAATGTAAAATTTCTATGTAAATGTCTTGTTAGGCTGGCATCCGATGCGAGCCAACCGAAAGCCCAGCGGGTACAGTAGTGCGTCGAAGCAATACCTGTAAAAGTCACTGACGAAGTTCTGGTGCTCCGTCCACTTTTCCCTGTCCCTGTCCCTGCCTTGAAGAGGATGGTACACTTTGGCAAAAAAATATACTTTGCTGGGGATTATAAAAAACACAGGCCGGAGTTATTAGGTTGCCTTGCGAACATTGATCTGAATGCTGACATCATTCTTAATTGCTTTGCTCCACGTGGGGCGTCACTCTCACTGCACATAGATGGATCCAAGACCGCAAAAGGCACAGGAAGTGTCTTCTGTGCTATGGAGAGAATGGAGTGATCTTGCAAGAGTGGAGAAGACGACTGAACGAATCCAACTCAGAGTATCAGGCTGAATTAACCACACTAAAAAGCAGCCTTAGTATATGTGAGAAATAAATTCAGACAGGAAAATAGCCATTTTTAGTAACTCTGCCTCTAGCCTGGAAGCCACAAGAGGCCATAAAAGTTGGAGACCACAAGCACAGGAAATTACCGTCTGCTCCTTCAGCAGCCACAAGCAATCCGTCTCAGTCTTTATAAGGTCCCGACACACGTTGGGATCCAAGGCAATGGAGAAGCAGACTGGGCAGCGAAGTCGACAGCAAATGATATGGCTCTACTTGAACATCCAGTGAAATTCCCCATCTCCCAACTTAAGAGTCACACATCAACAGGTCATTACACAGTGGCAACAGAGGTTGGAAACAGTAAAAAGAAAGGGCAGACGAACATATGAATTTTTTCCGAAAGTGGGGGAAGCACTCCGAGTCAATATTGGTGAATTAACGCACTTCTTCACAGGCCATGGCCCTATCAAATCTTATCTACATCGCTTCCACCTAAGTGAAAAAGATACCTGTGGCTGTGGAGAAGTGAGAGACCCGGATCACCATCTCTTCTCTTGCTCCGACACTGCTCTTCTTCATCAAAAGAAACCAAGTCAACGATTTCGGCCCCAATGGGCGGAAAATTTGGTTAAGAACAACATAGCCAGAGTAAAGCTGAGAAAACTTATTATGTACTGTGCAACAAACAACTCAGATGTAAGTGGGCACAACAGGCAACCTAGCACTTGGCATCTTGCTCGATCAGAAATTAACCAAGTATCTAGGCACATCTTTTTCTCAGAACATCATAAGTCTTTATGATTTGTAAGACTATGTAATTACACTCTGCGAAGCAGAAGCACAACAGTAAGCCTCATCACACAAAGTATCATTAGTAGTATAAACTATCTCCTCCAATTGTACCTTCATACATGTTTTCTTTTTTTCCTTCAATTGTAATTGCATTTGTATACACTTTGAATCTCTGTACAACCCTTTTTTCGTTTTTCTGCTCTTTGTTACAACGGAATTCAGTCTCCGCTTCAGTTGCATTATAATTAATACCTTTTTCAATTCTCTCATCATTGAATAGAGTAATTGCTTCATACAATAGAGTAAGTAATATTAATAGCACCTTCAAGGCATTGTTCAGTAGTGTTTTGTGAAGTTAGCCTGAAAGTCTTATGTATCTTAGATTGTAATACTGTAACTGTGCTTGTTAAGTCCTAAACATTACAACCAGTAAACTCTATCTGAACACAGGACCATCAGTGATCTCACTTAGTCGGTTATTAGCACAAGACTGTGTAACCTGTGAGGACATATCCATCGCTTTAAAAAGCCTTATGAATTTCTTTTTCATCATCAGTTTGTAGTAGTCTGTTCTGCCTGCCTCCTGCGGAGGGGACGCAGCAGCATTAGATCGCTTCTGCAAAGAGGACACTATACTCTGAGGCAAATTTTATAGCCTAAGGGTCAGCAGTCCTCTTCTGCAGCTTAAAATTAAAAAAGTACAAACTCGAAAACTAAAAATGCAAAAGGGGAAAAATATACAAGAAATAAAAATATAAAATTTAATCTCCTTTTATAACCAAAACTAACATAAACAAAAGACTCACCTGGCCTTTTTAATTATCTTTAATTAGTTAAAAAAATTAAGATAAAACATTAAAATTAAGGGCGTTATAATTACACATTTATGTTACAAAGTAAACCTCGGGGAACAGCATCTCGGAGAACAACTTGCTTAGTCCATGACTCCAGTACATCGACTGAAGGCTGTAGTCATTTTGGCAGGAGTTTCTGCCGGTGGCCGCTAGGTGGCGCTGAGCCGTGGGGTTACACTTTGACTTAAATTTCAATTCAGAACTCAGCAGAGAAAAATGAATTAAAGCTTCATAAAAGTTGATTAATATGCTTCGAAGACGTCTTTAGTTCTCCTGGTTCATTTCAGATCAAAAACCGAAAGAGAAAAACATTTCATTACATTAAAATTTATATAAACTGAAAAAAGTGAATCTCAAATGTACCAGGATTTTTCCTACACGCCTTCGAAGCACTTGGAAAACAGAATAAAACAACACATTGTTTCAAATTGACTACAAAAAAAAAGCCGTAAATCTTTACATTATGTAAAATGACCATTCCAAGAAACCAAATTGTTCTAAAAATATTATATGCAAATCCGAAGTTCAAAATCAAATATAAATATAGAACTTTATGCAAATATATTTTAAACCAAATAGTCATTTTGTAGGGTTTATATTTATTTTAACTAACATTTATTTTAAGCTATCTTTCCTGTCAAGCCTTTACTTTCCCCTGGAATTGCCAGTGCCAGAGTATGTAAATTTTAGTAGAACGCGCAAAGGATTCAAATTTTCAGCGGAAGTAATTTGAGTTAAATAGAAGGGAAACGAGTTCGAAGGTGTGCTTTCTTGCTTCACGAGCGTGGAGGTGGCTAGGTTAGAAATTGAAGAACCACGCGTTTCGGCCTGTGTGCTTGCCTCGGCAGATTAGTTAATCTTTCAACGTAATATTCAGAAAGTTTGCTGAATTATCAGCGGTATCTTAGAACGCGGTGAGGTTAGTTACGTTTAGAGAGCCTCGTAGTTAGTCACTTGTTATTATTCATTTTTTTTTAGTTTTACTTTTATTTTTATTTTACCGCCGGGTCGGCGTAGTTTGTGAGCGTCAAGAGCACGCATCTGTAATTTCTAAAGTTGAATAAAAAGGGATTTAAACCCTTCTCAAGACTTTGTGTACTTTCCAGTTCATAGCAGTCACCACTATTGTTGCGTGCAAGGTTGGGGCGCGCAACATTACATTGGCGCCCGAACACTTGTCGAACTGAAATGGCCGAAAACTGGATGGAAGCTCCTGCTAAGTCCAACAACAAGAAATGGCAAGCCAATTGGAAGGATTTGGATACCTGGTCCAGACGATGAGAGCGTCAATCAAGCCAAACGTCAATTTCGACGGAAAAAATTCGGTGGCGATATTCTTAGAAGGCCTCGAAAATCACTTTCCAGCTCTACCCTGTGCCTGAACCTGAAAGACAAAAAAGTTGCCATCGCCACATCTGCACTAAGAGGACAGGCCGCGCTATGGTGGAAGAATATAGGCAAATTTTTATTAGGGGAATTCGGAGGCCAGACATATACATTTGAAAATTTCAAAAAATCGTTATTAAAGGCCTTCCCCATAGTGAAAGATCGAGCAAGGCTAGAAGCCGAACTATATAGTTTTTATCAACGGAATATAGAAGAGTTGACGGACTTTATTCTGCGAAAAATTAAGCTGACGGATATGCTGTATGGGAAGAAACCCGACGCGGAGATTATTGAAATAATCTTACCAAGATTGCTTACCTGCTGTTCAAGATTACTTCGAAATTAGAAACCCAAGCACATTGCAGGAGCTCTTCGAATTGGCGGTCAAGTTCCAAAATCGCAGAATAGCGGAAAAAGCTAGAGGGGCATCGTATTCTCAAAGTATCCGAAGGCAATCTTCAAATGAGCAGACCAGAAATGCACAAATCCGCTCTTATGGGGGAAAGAGCTATCAAGCTAACTCATCGAAGCTCGAAGGTCAAGGCCCAAAAAGGAAATTTGAAAACAACCGTCCGCGTACCCAGAAGG